TTTTTTCTGTAATAAACATCCAGGAGGGAAAACTAGATGGTGTCTCATCAGCTGATGAAAGGGGCAGCTGGGAGGACGTATTGATGAGTCAGAATTCAGCGTCAAACTTCTCATAAAAAAGTTCAAAACCTCCTCCGTATTCGCCCCCAATGAGGGGTTAAGCATTCGAGAATTAGCTCGAGAGAGGTAGCAAATGCCAAAAGCAACCACTCGCTGGCAAGACTGTCGATGGCTCCCTCTTTCGAAGGTTGTTTACAAGCAAACTGATGGGCGGCTATGACTCACAGGCACATGCCAGTACCAATTTTACCATCGAAACGAATGAATGAATCCCCTGGCGCATAAAATGAGGAAAGGATGACCTGTGCATCAAACCATCGATAAGAGAACAGCTGCTGAGAGCTGCAATTTTCCAGCGTTACTTGTCGCCCATTGTTGTGCCCGTGAAAGTAAATTAATTGTTAGCTGTTCTGCTTCTCACGTATGAACACGTGAAAGTTGTCGTAACTTTCCCGTTCAAGTAGATACTAATGAGCTCAAACCCAACCCCCGAGTAAGCGTGGTACCCGCGTACAGGCCCGCCAAAATTTTTCCCGCGTAAATTCATAACTCGGGGTTCTGAGATGCTAGACAGCTGAAATTTTGAGGGAATGTTCCCCGTCCAAGTAGGTACTAATAAGCTCAAATCGTAGTTTAGCCAAGAAAAGGCACTCACTGCTGCACTGGCAGCGGCCTCATCTTTGATTTTCTGGAATTCTTTGCTGTCGGCGACTTCTGTGTTGCTGCTGCTGTTTTCGCCTTCGGCCGGTACGCTACTGGTCGCCGCTTCTTCCTTCGGCCCTGCTCCGGGGGGCTCTTCGACACCAGGATCCCCCATTCTGGCAACTTTAGCCCGAAAATGAAAACACTCTGAGCAATGAAACATCTCAACAAATGCTTATTATAACTGTCACGACAGCGCACTACGAAAACGTGCACACGTATGCATACACACGTGTGCACACACGCACACGTCCGTACACACAGGCGTGCACACACACACATACGTACACATAGGCGTGCACACACACACACACATACGTACACACACAATACTCATACATATACATACATACACACACCATCTGTCAATGATAAGGCTACTGACTCGAACACTTGTGTACACACGTGAGTGTACATACACAGAGGCGTGCACACACACACACACACACACACACACACACGTACAGCAGCTGTCAATGATAAGTCTACTGTGATACTGCCATTCGCAAAATCCCCTTAATCTCAAAATGCCAAAGGCGCATATTATGCATATATGTCTAGCAGTGTCGTTGGAAAATCTCGGCACCACTTGCGGGGGAGCGAGGGGAGGGGGAGAGGTGGGGAGGGGCCGGGAGGAGGAGGGAAAGTGGCCGGCAGTACTTGGGGACGGGAGGAAGGAGGAGCGGTGGGGGAGGGGGGGGGGCTAAGGTGTCCCGGTGAACCCGTTGCCTGTAACCTATACCGTGGGTTTTGTCAAGC